ACAAAACCGCATTCAAGACATGGTACGGGCACTTCGAGTGGGGCGTAATGCCATTCGGCCTCAAGAATGCCCCGGCCACCTTCCAAGCGGCAATGACCAACAGAGTTCCACGACATGTTGGACTGATTCGTGCTCATCTACCTCGTTGACATCTCGATGTATAGCCGAACTATGGACAAGCACATCATGCATCGACACAATGTTTTGGACAGGCCACGCACGGCCAAGTACAAGGCCAACCGAGCCAAGTGAGAATTCACACAACAAGAGCTTGAGTACTTGGGCCACTTTGTGACGCCGCAAGGCATGCGTCCACTCGCGTACAAGATCAAGGCCATCCAAGATTGGTCAAAACCGACCAACACCACGAAAGTTCGCTCATCGAAGGATACGCACGGATCGTCGCACCCTTGTCAAGATTGCAGTCTCCAAAGGTGCCCTTCCATTTCATCGACGAAGTCCGAAGTTCGTTCCAGAAATTGAAGACGGCGTTGCTCCTCGCTCCCATCTCGAGTATCTACGATCTCACCTTGCCTACGATAGTGACTACGAACACTTCCGGCCACAACATCGGTGTAGTTTTGAAACAACATGACGCAATAGGTTCGCATCCGGTTGAGTATTTCAGCCAAAAGGTGCCTCCCATCAACTCGGTTGATAATGAGCGGAAGGAGTTGCTTGCTTTTGTCACGGTACTCTAGCGTTGGAGACACTTCCTCCTTGGGCGTCGTAGGTTCACTTGGGCTGCGGACAGTAACCCTGACCTACTACAAGATGCAAGACACAGTGAGCAGCACGATTGCTCGATAGATGTATTTCATCAATCAGTTTGAATTCACACCAAAACACATTTCGAGCCTCTCCAACCGAGCCGCGGGTGCTCTCTCACGAAGATCAGATCCTTGTGCATTGACTCACCACGTGTTCAGTTTCGACGACCTTCACCAGCATTTTGTGCGAGCATACAAGTCCGATCCGGAATACGCCGCGCTCTACGAGCAACTATCCTCGGATCACCCACCGGCCAGCCATTATCGCATCGTCGAACACTACTTGCTTCTTCACTGACGAGGCAAGGACTTACTATGTGTCCCACACGACCGTCGCTTACGGACTCTCCTCCTCGACGAGTACCACGACTCGCAACTAGCCGGCTACTTGGGAGTCGACCATACAATCGCAAAACTTCGGCAACGATTTCGGTGGCCCGACCTCATTTTACCGACATCACTCGGTATTGTGCCTCTTGCGAAGTTCGCCGACGAAGCAAACCCCGCAATCGCAACAGCTTCGACGCCCGTTGCCTATTCCGCGGGAACCCAACCTCTCCATTGCTATGGATGTTGGCGGACCGCTCCGAGCACGACAACATTCAAGTACGCATGATTTCTTCCTTGCAAGTACTACGCCACAGCTCCCGAGCTTGTGTGGCTCTTGCACACCGGCTGGATTTGAGGCCACGGCGTCCCAAAAGACATCGTCAATGACCGCGACACTCATTTTATGTCGAAATTTTGGACTTCTCTCATGAAGTCGAACACGGAGATGAAACCAAGTTCGACTCGGCATCCACAAATGGACGGGCAAACTGAGCGGGCACATCAAACCGCTCAAACGATGCTTCGCACACTCGTCCGTACAATACTTCGTTGCATCCGGCGATCGGCGTGACTCCATTCGAGTTTCACCACGGTGGCAGGAAAGGCCGTATCGTCACTGATCTTCCATTTCCAAGGACTCCCAACATTGACGCCGTTTGCTCTCCCGCCCCCGTTCGGAAGTATAGAGACTTGCTGGCTAAAGGCCGTGCCAACATGCGAAAGGCCCAAGTCCGCATGCAACAGCAAGCCAATCGGCGTTGCATGCCATGCCCTATCCGCACCGGCGACCTTGTTTCGGTATCCACAAAGGAGTTTGCACTTGAACAAGACGTCTCGCGCAAGCTACTTCCTATGCTATGTGGTTTGGACCATGGACCGTCATATCAGCCGCAGGTGATGAGCCCGATGGCCCTTCTTTTGTGATCGACATCCCCCCGCATATATCGGTCCACCCGGTCTTCCACGCCTCCAAGCTGGCCACATATACCCGGCCAAGAGCAACGACTTACCCGGTCGACGATCGCAGGACCCTCCTATGGATGATCATCAAGAAGTCAATCTCGTCATCATGCATGGCAAGCACAGCAACAAGCCAATGTAGTACAAGGTCACATTCAAGTGGTGCGACCCCGACGATACACGATGGATTTCACGAGCAGCCTTGCAAGCCTCCCCTCTGCTTATCTACGCCAAATATGAGAAGAAACGGCAAGCCACGGAAGCTGCAACGCCTGCCCCTCCCACCCGGACTTCGGTCCCTCCCTCCAACAGACAGCTTCACCCTCGCAGATAAGTTCGATCTTTCAAGGAGGGGGGATTGTGGCATACTCCGCTCCATACGCGCCCAGCAGGGCCCGACCAGTTCGGGCATTCAGTAGAGGATCAAGGTGAGGCATACTTCGGACGACGACAGTGCAGCAGTAGTCGACGATAGGACTAGTCGTCCAGTAAAGGATCGAGTAGAGTACCACAGGAAGGAGGAGATGGTGATTGCTGCGTGGCCATTGCTCCAGCTTCGTCTTCAGCACGTCCGCACCTGCATCAAGGCACCACCTTCCGCAGGTCAGTACCTGGTAGAGAGAGAGAGAGAGAGAGAGAGAGAGAGAGAGGGGTTGACGACACTTGGGATTCGGACTCGACATTGGGGCAGAGGCGTTGGGGGGGACTACTGGGATTGATATCAGCGACATTCAGGTTGACGACGTTCTCCTCTCTTCCCCCTTCTCCTTCCTCTCTTCTCCCTCTTCATCTGTGTATGAGTTAGGCCTGGCACCTTCATCCAGTGTGCGGCGCCAGGCCATTCACACCGTGTGATGATGATGAAGTACGTCCAGTCTGCATTTCGACATTGTTTGGGTCTGATCATTTGTAATCTAGCCTTCCGCTGCGCTACTCCGCTCTGTGAGAGGTCGGTTTTTGGTTCTGATCTGTACCATCTTGGTATGCGATAGTAAGTCAATGGCCTGTTTGGACGATATCAGAGCCTGCAATGATGTTTCCCTCCAAACGTGATACATGCGCAGTTGGGCAATGTATATGGAGCCACGGATCTGCAAAGTGATGACAATGCAGAATTAGCAAAGCATCATAAGCAATGTACATTCAGACACATGAAAATAGCACAACATAGTGCAATGGAAGACTCAAAGATATGACCTGACAGGTCAGATACTGACGCGACATCCCATCATACACCACACGTGAAAGGAACCGCATGCACAGAAGAAAGGTCCCTCCTTGCACACGCACATGGGGGAGATACCGCGGATGAGAGATGGGGGGAGAGACGAAACGAAGATGGAGGTGAGGGGAACGATCAAGATCGCGGTACCGACGTCCAAAAATAGTCTCCCTGCCAAATGTCCAATCTATGTCTGCCACAAAAATGTCAAATTAGATCCTGGGCTTCACGCCCGACGTAGCCATTGCCAGTAACCTCTCTCTCTCTCTTTCTCTGAAGGAAGATAAGGAAGAAGAAGGAGAAGAACGAGAAAAGAGAGAACAGATGGAGTGCGAAATGAAAAAGAAGAAGTCATCCTCCTTGATGTCTCACCTGCAGGTAACTGCTGGCATGTACTGACTGCCGTCGTGGTCCCTGTGCAGGTATGGCACTCAGGTTAGTACCACCGATGCAGGTATGGCCTCCGCCTCTCTGCCTACGTACACCTCTACCTCTACCTCCTAGCGTAGCGCTGTAGTGTAGCAGCGCTGCTCCAGCAGCATATCGCCCAATAAGTGAGCTACTCGAACTGAGTGTCTGTCCAGCCATGGCCCGGCTATAAGTACCGCTGGGCCGGCTGGTCTGCCTCTGTGCGTGTGCCCAAAACGTGGGCCTAAAGAGTCTGGGTCCCGACCGAACCTCCAGACCCTGTACCTGGACAGGGGAGACCTGCCTCCTGGCGTACCTGGGCCAAGGAGCGGCCTTGGGAACTGCAAGTCCGAAACGACGCCTGAACAAACAAAAATAGGACAGTAAGCAAATAAATAATAAATGAATGATGCTTCGAATAGAGTGCTGCGGCTTAAGGGCCAGCCGTGGGCCTCCAGGCCGCGCGTCCGAAGGGCGTGCGGCCTAGGGGCCCCCAGCAACCGTCGGGCCCCCAAAAAGCATGTAACAGAAAGGGAGGAGTTACCGGTTGCTTGGAGACTGCACAGCCTGGAAGTCACCGCTCCAGAGGGCAGTAGGTAACTACATCTTCAGGTACAGCGCTGGGCTCTACCTGATTTGCGGCATGGAAGCTTGGGTGACATGCTGCTTGAGCGAGCACCAGCATTCTGGGGCGCTAATGACAGGAAGAGCGCTGGGCAGTGCAACGCTGGGAGGAGGAAGAAGGCCAGGAGCTTCCATGTCTGCTATGGTGGAGCTCTGCCGGTAGGAGGAAGAAGGGGACCAGGGAGTAGAGTGACAAGGTACCTTCCTGGCTATGGTGGAGGCCATCTTCATCACCTTGTTAGGCGCTGCACGTCTGGAAGGACCCATTGGGGGTTTCGCAGCACCAAGATGGCTTCAAGGAAGAGTCAGGCATGGCGGCCTGAGCAGCAGCCCACATAGCTGCTTTGTGTTGTCCTTTGCACAGCAGGGCTAGGCCCTTAGCAGTCCGCCATAGCCTCGGCCTGGTTGAGGAAGAAGATGGCTGACCTCTAGTTATGCCAAGCAGTAGAATTGGGGATTAAGCCATTGATTCTGTTTCTGCCATTCATGATCCTCTTTCTTTCTTCTTCTTCTTTCTTTCTTTTTCTTCTTCTATCTCTCGAGTTCAATCATTTCTTTTGTAACTGGAGGGCCTTTCTCATAAATTTTGCATTTCGAAATTGGCCAGGGTCATAACACTATGATGATTGCGTCCTTTATCTCGCATAATCAAGTAGCAGCATGGATAAGGCAGATGGCTTTCTCACCAGGCAAACTGCCGCACATATTCCGCGGCATCCTCTCTGTAGAAAACTTTTGCCACTTTCAAGTTCTTCCTGTACTCGAGCGCCTGCTGATAATTCCTCTCATTCCGAGCGGACATCGGCCTGCTTTCAAACTCACGGACTGTCATCTCAATTTCCTGCAAGTTCCTGTCCGATTCATCAAGGTGGGAGATTGCCAACATCTGATTCTGCAGATACAAATTAGCCTGCACGATAGCGACCAGAATAAATCAAAACATTAGCAGTGTGAACCAGAACGCAATCAAGGTCGCTTGACAGAGGGCTAGTAAAGAACACCAGGGATGCAATATTCCACAAAGAACCACGATAATTCTGTTCAGCTGGGCAAAGACAGCTTGCCACCCAAAGGAAAAAAAAAATCACTACTGTGATGACCCGTCCAAACATGGACTGAAACACACGACTGATTTCTGAGTTTTGCCCATAGACTGAATGCCTTGCTGAGTTTCCCACCTGCTACTAAGTCTGTGTCTGCACGCTTGCTGGACTGCATATCTGTCTGAGTGCTGATTGGCTTAAGTGTGTGTGTGGTCGTGCCTGTCTGAGTGCTGGTTGGCTTGAGTGCCTGTGTGGCCCGCAAGGGCACTTGCTCGTCCATTGGGCCCTCAGGGCCGGTACTTACCTGTGGCCGAGACATTGAGGGATTGCAGCAGGAAAAACACCAGAGTAGCGGGTAGGCCGGTACCACACCCTGAAGAGGTAGATGTGCGGGTACTGGAGGCCGAGCAGAAGAAGACAAAAGTGGCATTTTTAGAGGCCCAGTAATTGTAGGTTAGGGCTAGGCGGATGCCAGTCCAACCAGTCTGGGTCTAGGGCCTGTACGGGCAATATCAGAATCTGCAATGATGTTTCCCTCCGAAAGGGAGGAGGTACCAGTTGCTTGGGAGGCCGAGCGGCCTGGAAGTCACAGCCCAAAGAGGCAAGCAGGCCACTATATCTTCCAGCCGGGCGAAGAGCCCGGCCTCTTTCTCGGTGTGCAAGTTTGGTGACACACTGGTTGGAGCGCCGGTTGGAGCAGCGCTATCCAGGAGCAGCGCTGCTGGGGGAAGGAGAAGGACACGGAGGAGGAAGGACAGGAAGGGGGAGGAGCACCAGGGGTACTTACCTGGCTATGGTGGCAGCCATCTTCATCACCTTGGTGGGCGCTGCAGCAGGGAGTCCCCAACTGGGGAGAGCCACACCAAGAAGCTTCAAGGCAGAGTTGGGCATAGCGGCCCGAGTGAAGCAGCCATAGTTGCTTTGGGTTGTCCTTTGGGCATCTGGGCAAGGCCTAGTAGTCCGCCATAGCCTCGGCCTATGATGAGGAAGGGAGGAGGAGGAGGCCATGGCTATGGCGGACCTCAGGTGGTGCCGGCAGTGGAAGAGGAACTCGGACATTGATTCTGGATCAGCCATTCAACATTGTATTATTATTTCTTGTATGAATAAGAGAAGGGGGAGATAAGGAGGAGAAGATTGTTGGGCGAAGAAGAAGAGCCTGGTCATTTGTCTATGCTGGTGTACACCATCTTCTTCTTCTTCTAATCCTCTCTCTCCTCTCAAGTTCATTCATTTCTTTCTGCAATTGGGAGGCATTGTACTATCTGATGGATGTGTATCTCGAAATTGGCAAGGATGATAACACTACTGCTATAGAGCTCGTATAGGCTCGCCATGCTCAGAGAATGCCACAGCGACACCCGCACAAAGAACCAGGACCACCCAATCACAACAAACATATACATCAATCATGACGTAAATAATGACGATTACGGAGCACTCTTGCTATAACTGTCCCTATCGCCTTGCTCCTTGACCGACTAACTTTCCGCGGCCGTTTGGCTATGTTCAAGTGTAGTATCTGTTCAGATCAGTTATCTGATCCGTCGTCCATCGGACCAATTTAAAAAACAAAATTAAAAACAACAAAACACTAACCTTTCCTGTTTCCACCCTAGGGATACACACTCAAAGGAAAGGAGAACCACCAAAACCACTATCAGTAGCACAGATCAAACTCGTCGGAAATGGTCTGTTTTCCATTAATTCTATTACGATAGAAATATGTGGGGATCTCAGTTGTGTGAGTGTGTGTGTGTGTGGGGGGGGGGGGGGGGGGGGGGGGGGGGGGGGGGGGGGAGTTCACAGGTGGTTGAGTGGAGGTGAGCTCCCCACATACGAGTGCAAAATTGTGCAAATGGAAATGGAGGCACATCCCAAAACATGTCAAGGACTCAAAAGTGAATGCAGACGAGGAGTCCATTCGCTGCCCATCTTCCTGTACTACTACTGAAAGGTCGGGTATAGATTGAAACTTTCGGCCTTTTCATGAGGTACGCGCCAAATTCACCCACAAAATATGCTCTCTCATTCCATGCGGGAGCAGCATCCGGTATAAATGAAAATTCAAATGTCTACACAGGTCATACCCAGTACAACCAAAAACTCTCGGACATATTTTCTTTCCTAAAACAGTACACTTGGCAAAATGCAGATGGGGTACCAAAACTTGCCATCAATTCCCGCACTCGCCTAATAGAAAATACTGTGTTCCAACAATACAGGCCTCCAAATGGGAATGACCTGACTTCACCCACTGGCTAGTGTATGCTGTGACACTTATCTACTGATTACAGGAGATGAGGGGGGGGGGGGGGGAACATGAAGAAGATGAAGGAAAGATGCAGAAAAGAGGGCACTGCCCCTGTAACCCTCCAAATTGAGGCTCTCCACGCATGAGGAGCTGGGGGAAATTTCTCCAGTGAATCCATCCAGAAAAGCAGAGATCTGCCCGCATAGCAAAAGATGTGCCAGGCAGCCATGGAAAACGGGATCAAGACTAGCAAAAAGCTAAAGGGCTGAAAAAGCAAATACCACCAGTATGCTCTTCAATGCAATAACTGGTCAACATCTTGTTCCTGGGGGCAAAGAAGGCAGGAGGAACCTCACAAAGCCCCTATGGGCACAGGTGCCGTAAAGTTAATCATCACCTGTACAAAAAACATTTTCGAAGGCACAGAGATGAAAGCAAAGAAAAACAGACGTGGGAAAGCAATGTTGGGAAACTGAATTTTAACGGTGAGCGCATTTGGCAAGGCTCTTTGAAATAGAACAAGTCCATACAAAAGCAAGCCCTTCAACTTCATCCACACAAACACAAACTCTCATACCGTTCCTCCAACATGGAGGCAGAAAGGACCACCTCTGCGCTTATGCATCCAGACACTGACCGCTTATGATGGACTCAAGTGGTATATTTGTTTGGCCATCCACCTTTCTAGCCGTCATTCCGTAACTTCTTGTTTACACGCCATGCCATCATCAATCAGGACATCAGAAGCCGACAGGTGGCGCCATTGAAGCACACGGGAAAATGGAGAACTATATGTATATATCTATATGTCGTCAAATAGAACTGCCCGGTAAACCGTAGGCAGAGAGGGAGAAGAGGTATATATATGGGGAAATGGAAAAATATATATACATACCTTTCTCGGCACTTTGGCTAAGCAAGATCAAGTGTAGTATCTGTTATGATCAGTATCAAACTCGAAAAAAATGAAGAGCAAAAAAAAGAGAAATACTTGGGTTAGGCCGACGTCCAGCCTAGACAGACCAGGCCAGACGGACCGGGGGGGTCCGTCCGGCAAAACCAGACGAGCCAAAAAACATCCCAGGAATTTTTTATTTTTTTTTTAAGATGCGGTTGGAGTGCGCTCACTGAACCCGAATCCACAGTCAAACTTGTAAAAGTCATGTGTGTGTGNCCATAGTGCCGTGGAAGTAGAGGATGCAAGGACCACCAGCGAGGGAAAAAAGAAAGTTCAAATATCGGAAGAAGAAGAAGAACGAGAAGAAGGAGAAGAAGAATTACAAGGAGAAGAGGGTGGAGGGGAGGTGGAGGGGGGGATTTTGGAGGTCACTGTAGCGGGTGTAGCGGAGGTACTTGCAACTTTTCCTTTTCCTTTTTCTTCTGCCGTTTTGCCCCTCCTCCGTCCAGACCCGCCACTCCCCCCTCCAATGTCGCTGTCACCACCCGCCATAGTGCCGTGGAAGTAGAGGACGCAAGGACCACCAGCGAGGGAAATGCAATCAGACTCGCTTCTTTTCACACTTCACATGCATGTAAACAGGTTGCGCAGCAAACTGGCGACAAGCACCCACTCAAAACTCAGAGATGTGGTAACCAGGAACACAGTTCAGATACAATCTCACTTCAGATGGCGATGGCGCATCAGCGCCTGTACAAATCTCTGTTCGTCACTCACTCAACGCTGCTGTTCACACACAGGATCACCCTGGATATCCCACACGCATCACACTGTACACTCACGCACTCACACATGCTACACTCTTCTATCACCTATGGCGGCTATGGCCGCTGCTACCCCTATCACTATGGCTAAGCTCTCCTTCTCGCCCACTTCGTCTTCGGGCTCACTGCAGATCACCTCGCATAAGTCGCTGTGGCAGCGCTTCCGCATGGCTTATGCGGGAATGAATGAATAGCCAGGCGCTGCCTCTTGATTTATACTTCTGTAACTCATTGGTCTGCCCCTTTCCTATGCCCGTGGTGCACACAGTCCCATACGGTACTTGCTTAACTGGACTAGGACTGACTCAGCAAGGGTGGATTTCACCACTTGCCCACTTGCCTCAGTGTAAACGTGAGCCAGCTCCGAAAGGCCACTTCCAGACCTTCTGGAAGTCCGCAGGCTTGGCCTTTCGGTACTGTAGCAGCTACAACCTTGACCTTTCAGGACATTAGCAGCTACGACTTCGACCCTTCGGAGGAGCTACAGTTACGACTCCTAGGACCTGCTAAGACCTACAAACAACAGGTTTCCAGCTCCAACCCCTACAACCTACAGACCTACGACAGCCTACCAACTGCTGCGAATACACAGGTCACGGGTTCAACTCTCGGGGTCGACACAGATACTGTACACAGGTAAGGTGAGGACTAGGGATCGAGCCCTGGAATCTGCATCCACAACTGCGAACAGGTGAATACCATTTCACTCCCGCCGGCCTAAATTCGAGGTCCTCTGAGAATAACTCAATCCAAGGCAGGACCTTTACCTGTCCTATCTCTCTTGTAGGCTCTGACTACGTCGGGAGCTGTTTCTAGGAGTTCTGTCCTAGTAAACCAGCGGTCATCCTCTGGTTCCTGATAAGCAAACCGGACCTTATATTGTTTCTGTGG